AGAAATTAAGGAATCAATCCAACTTATAATTGCACAAGAAATAATAAGATACATAGGAATAAACCTAACCAAAGAACTAAAAGACCTGGACTCTGAAAACTACAAAACACTGATGAAAGAAACTCAGGGTCATAGAAATGGAATGATATTTCATGTTCATGGATCAGAAAAACAAATATTGTTAAAATGTCTATTCTACCCAAAGTAATCTACACATTTAATGCAATCCCTAACAAAATACCACCAGAATTTTCACAGAGCTAGAACAAACAATCCAAAAATTTGTAGGGAACTACAAAAAAACTCAAATAACCAATGCAATCCTGAAAAAGAAAAGCAAAGCTGGAGGCATCACAATTCTGGATTTCATGTTATACTACAAAGCTATAGTGATCAGAACAGTGTGGTACTAGTACAAAAATGGAAACATAGATCAATGGAAAAGAACAGGAAATCCAGAAATAAACCCATAAATACATGGTCAATTAATCTTTAAAAAGCAGGAAAGAATATCTAACAGAAAAAAGACAAGTCTCTTCAACAAATGGTGTTGGGAAAACTGGACAGCAACATGCAAAAGAATGCAACTGGACCACTTTCTTACACCACACACAAATAAATTCAAAATGGATTAAAGACCTAAATGTGAGACAGGAAACCATCAAAATCCTAGAAAAGAGCACAGGCAGTAACCTCTTTGACATCAGTCGTAGCAACTTCTTTCTAGATATATCTCCTGAGGCAAGGGAAACAAAAGCAAAAATAAACTATTGGGACTACATCAAATAAAAAGTGTCTGCACAATGAAGGAAACAATCAACAAAACTAAAAGGCAACCTAAGCAATGGGAGAAGATATTTGCAGAGGACATATCTATCTGATAAAAGGTTAGTATACAAAATATATTAGGAACTTATGAAACTCAACACCCAGAAATCAAATAATCCAGTTAAAAAATGGGGAGAAGACAAACAGTTTTCCAAAAAAGACATACAGATGGCCCACAGACACATGAAAAGATGTTCATCATCACTTACTATCTGGGAAATTCAAATCAAAACTACGATGAGATACCACCTTATACCTGCTAGAATGGCTAAAATCAACAACACAAGAAACAACAGGTGTTGGTGAAGATGTGAAAAAAGGGGAACCCTCTTGCAATGTTGGTAGGAATGCAAACTGGGTGCAGCCACTCTGGAAAACAGTATGGTGGTTCCTCAAAAAGTTAAAAATCAAACTACCCTATGATCCAACAATTGCACTACTGGATAATTACCCAAAGAATACAAAAACACTAATCAGAGGGATACATCAATCCCATTTTTATAGCAGCATTTTTTTACAATAGCCAAGATATGGTAGCAACCCACGTGTTCATCAATTGATGAATGGATAAAGAAGAATACATACAATGGAATATTATTTAGTTTTTACAAAAAATGAAATCTTGCCATTTGCAATGACATGGATGGAGCTACAGAGTATAATGCTAAGTGAAATGTCAGTCAGAGAAAGACAAATACCGTATGATTTCATGCACCTGTGGAATTTAAGAAGCAAAAGAAGCAAAGGGACAGAAAGAGAGAGACAAATCAAGAAACAGACTCTTACTTATAGAGAACAAATTGATGGTTACCAGAGGAGTTTTGGGGGAATGGGTTAAATAGGTGATGGGGATTAAAGAGTATACTTTTTGTGATGAGCACCAGGTTATGTATGGAATTGTTAAATCACTATATTGTACAGCTGAAACTAATATAACACTGTTAAGTAACTGAAATTTAAAGCTAAAAAAAGAATTAAAAAATAAATCTTTTCATTTTGTGTATCCCTGTACTAATTATTATACAATTTTATCATTTTTTTGTTTTAAACTTCATATTAGCTTTATATGTGTTTAATCCCCTATCTTTAATATATGCTTTTTTCTTTTTCAGTGAGATATTTTACTTTCATACAATCTCTTATAACTAGTTAATTCCTTTTCTTTTCAGCTGAAATTTATCTCTTTAACATTTCTTATAAGACAGTTTTAATGGTGACAGATTCACTTAGTTTTTGCTTGTCTGGAAAACTCTTTATCTCTCCTTAAATTCTGAATGATATTACCAGGTAGAATTCTTGGTTGGACGTTTTCTTTTTTTTTCCCTTTCAGCACCTTCAATATATCATGCCATACCTTGCCACTTCCTTCTGGCCTACAAAGTGTTGATTGAAAAATGAGCTGATGGGCTTATGGGGGTCCCTTTAATGCAAGAAGTTGTTTTTCTCTGGCTGCTTTTAAGATTCTCTTTAATTTTTAACATTTTAATTTGAATGTTCTTTGATGTGGATCTCTGTTTTTTTCTTATTTGGAACTCTGTGAGCTTCCTAGAACTGATTATCTGTTTCCTTCCATAGGTTAGGGAAATTTTCAGCCATTATTTCTTGAAATAAGTTTTCTACTTTTTTTTCCTCTGTCTTCATTTGGTACTCCTATAATGCAGATGTTATTCTGCTAGATGTTGTCCCATATGTCCCTCAAACTACCTTAATTTTTCTATTTTTTCCCCTTTTCCTATTCTCAGTTACTTCTGGTGTCTTGTCTTCCAGGTTGCTCATCTGTTCATTTTGTCTGGTCTGCCACTGAACCCCCTAGGTTTATTTACTACTTCACCTATTGTATTCTTCAGCTTTGTGACTTCTCTTTGTTGAAGTTTTCACTGTTCATCCATTCTTCTCCTGAGTTTGGTGAGCATATTTATGACCATTACTTTGAATTCTTTATCAGGTAGATTACTTATCTCCATTTCATTAAGGTCTTTTCTGAGGTTTTTCTCTTATTCTTTCATCAGGAACATATACATGTCTCCTCATTTTGCTTGACTCCATGTTTGTTTTTATGTGTTAGGTAAAATAGCTACCTCTCCTCTTTAAAAAGGTTTTAAATTATAGTTGACACACAATGTTATATTAATTTCAGGTGTACAACATAGTGATTTGACAAGTTTATACATTACACTATGTTCACCACAAGTGTAGCTACCATCTGTCACCATACAACACTATTACAATATGATTGACTATATTCCCTATTCTGTACTTTTTACCCCTATGACTTATTTATTCCATAACTGGAAACCTGTATATCTCTCATTTCCCTTCACCCATTTTGCCAATTCCCCTACTTCCCTCCCCTCTGGCAATCACAGGTTTTTTCTCTGCCCTTATGGGTCTGCTTCTGCTTTTTGTTTGTTTTACTTTTTAGATTCCATATATAAATGTGGCCTTGCATTGGAGATAAACCTTATCAATTTAACCATGCCCTAGCTTTTGGTTGTTTCTCAGACCTCTGTGATTGTCTATAAGTAGCACAATTTGTTCTTGATAGGTCTCAGTTGTTGAGCGTATGCCAAGACCTGTCACTGTTCCAAATGGAGGGATCTCAGTGCCTAGTTTCAGGCTAATTGAAAGGCAGATTATCAGGCAGTATCTTCTTAAGATATGCAAATATACAGTCTTTGGGTCCACAATCGTAAACTCTGCTGACTTCCAGACCAGTTCCAGAGGTGTCCCCTGGGCAATAGTTGCAAAAATCGTAGCTTTAGACGTGTGTATAACCTTTCTGTGAGGTATCAGCGAACTATGATGAGATCAAGTGAGGGTGCTAATATGGTGAATCCCTGCCCATGTTCCCTGAGAGCCCTTCTGTAGCCTCTGGATGGGTGACCTGTCCCCACGACAAAAAAATAGAACTTTTTCACATCAAGAATGGGGTTGTGTTTCAGTCTTCTGTTTGTGCAGTGCCCTGGGTATGGTAGCCTGCCAAAAACTGTCTCTCTAACTGCTTCAAACCCATTGGGTCCAGAAACACAATACCCCAGGCCACTAGAGCCAGGTGTTCAAGGGGAGTCCCACGTGGGCTATGCATGCCCACCAGCTATGGCAGAAGAGCTGTGAATGTGGTATGGTGGTGGGGTACTCAGCCCACCTGGCTGTGGTGGGATAAGCCACAGCTGTAGTGTGCATGGGCAGGGTGCTCCCACTGAAGCTAGCAGACTTAAAGACTTAAAGGAGGGGTTCCACAATAGCACCCATCTACACCAGGACCAACAAGGCAGGAGAATGCAAAAATGATGCCCACCTCTGTCCCTGGAGAGAGTCCCAACAGGTTCTTGCCTCTCTAGCAGATGCTTTAAGATTAGCAAATGAGTCTCCTTCACATAGAGTCTAAGTGCCTTGCAAACTGTTGCTTTTGAGCTGGGTCCCATGGCAAGTGAGTCTGTGCAGGACCCTTTAAGAGTGTATTTTTCATTCCCTACAGTTCTCCTAGAAGTAAGCCCCACTGGTTCTCATAGCCAGATGCTTTGGGGGCTCATTTCTTCAGTGTAGGTCCGAAGGGCTGGGGTGCCTGATGTGGGACATAGACACCTTGCTACTCAAGAACAAGTTCCATATTATGAGATCACTCCCAACTGTAGGCTGCTGCTCCTGGGGTGGAGTTTTTGGAAGACCACATCTCTACCTCTCCTACCCATCTCAATGTGGCCCTTTTATCCTTTGTTGTAGAGGCACTGTTTAGCTAGCTTTCAGGTCCTTTTCAGAGGGAACTCTCCCATATATAGCTGTGGATCTGTTGTGTTCACAGGAGGAGGTGATTTCAGGAACCTTCTATGCCACCATTTTTCAATGTGTCTTTTAAAAAGTATGTAGATTTTAAAGTAACAAACAGCTTCTATAATTAATTGAATACAGCAGGCTAAAAGAGGATTTTCATTAACTATTACTATAATATGTGTTTTTTCTTTTTCTATGTAATCAAATAGAACTTGTTTTAAATACTACAGCCATACTAAATCCAGAATTTCACACTGATCTTCATTACTACCGAGATACCTTACCATACAGATTTCAGCACCAATATATATTAAGGTACAGATTAGAAAAGAAATAAAACCAACTTTCCAGAGATATTAAAAAAGAAAGCAACATATTTAGGTTTCTCATTTTGCTCTTACCGTATGTGATTCTAATTCAGCAATTTTCTCAGGGATCTCAGAACCCAAATAATATATTCTAATCACATGGTCAGTGCTACCTGTTGTAATGAACATACCACCTGGAAGATTAAAAAACAAACAAGCAAACATTGTACCAAGGAATTTAAAAACACTTTGATTGCCTTAGTTATATGCTACCTTATACTAATAAGAGGGCTTCCAGAAACACAGGTTATCTTCTAGTCATTAAAGACATAAAATTTCAGAGAAAAATAGGTAAAATTCAAGAGAAATATCTAAAGGACAACTATACCATTCACCCAACAAAAATCCAACAACTATACACTAAATATAGGCCTTTGAATAAGGTCATTAAAGGTCAGAGCCTTGAGGAATTCTTTATATTTTATGCAAAATCATAGTGCTCCAAAATTATTTATAAAATGACCTATAGCTACAATTCTCTTTTCAGTGGCTATAATGGTGTAATGTAAAAACTCAACCACTTTTGGGATTATGAAAAAATTCTAGAGATGGATGGATGGTGGTAATATATCAAAAACAATGTGAATATACTTAATGTCACAAAACTACTCACCTAAAAATGGTTATTAAAATAGTAAATTTTAGGGGCACATGGGTGGCTCAGTTGGTTGAATGTCCGACTTTTGGTTTCAGCTCAGGTCATGATCTGTGCATCCTGAGATTGAGCCCTGTATCAGACTCCATGCTCAGGAGGGAGTTTGCCTGATTCTCTCCCTCTGTCCCTTCCCCAACTCATGTGCGCCGGTACACGCAAACTCTCTTTCAAATAAATAATTTTTTTTTAAAAAATAGTAAATTTATGTTATATTTTACCACAATAAAAGAAAAGGTCAACTAGCATATGATTCTTAGCAGTAGAAAAGCACAATTTACACGCTGTAAAAGTGTCTTCTATATGGAACCACAGTATATATTTTCTGAAATGTCAGGGCAGTATTTTTTTTTTTTAGATTTTATTTATTTATTTGGGAGAGAGAGAGCATGAGAGAGGGGAGGTCAGAGGGAGAAGCAGACTCCCCGCCGATCAGGGAGCCCGATGCGGGACTCGATCCTGGGACTCCAGGATCATGACCTGAGCCGAAGGCAGTCGCCCAACCAACTGAGCCACCCAGGCACCCCAGGGCAGTATTTTAATGATGAATTGTGTGTGTATGGGGGGAGAGCTTTTCTTTTTACCAACCAAAATCTGATTTATATAAAAACATATTAGAAAATAAGAAGCTATTGTATGTTAATTAAAGTCCACAAAGGTCCATCTATTATATCATATGGTTCACATTTTTGGTATGCTTCTATTAACAAACATACACTGTTTTTCTCCACAAAATTATACATATATCTTCTACAACTGGATCATTTAATATTTTGGGTACTTGAAACTTTCAATTTTTACACATACCAGAACTGAAAGATGAACAAGATATCTGAACTCCAGGTCTGGATCTCTCAGTAAATTTCACTGGGCGATCTCTAAGGGAAAAGTAAGATATTTTTATTTTCCATCACGTTAATTTAACATGCAAGAATCTTTGTACACTGCTGGATATTGACAGATTGAACATCAATACTATAAAAAACACACAACTGAAGTAGTCAATAAGTACTATTCCAATCATTCAGGTTAAAAATGCATTAAACCTTGCAAATATACTTTAAGATACCAGTATCATTATTATAACTTTACAAAGTACTGCATAACTTACTACCATTAAGAGAAGTTCAAAGTCTTCTTACCAGAATAACAAATGAAACAAATACCCTTTACAAAAATTTTGTGTGTAAGTTAAATAGTCTCTTCAACATTGGTTTCATAAAAATTTGATTCTAAAATCTCTAACATCTAATTGAAGTATAGATGTGTGCACACACATACATTTATATACTTAAATATGTGGACTGTCAAGAATTTCTCAAGGTAATAAAGAAAAATAAACATGCTTGATTTTGCACAAAATTTCTAACCCAATTCTAAACTTACCTAAACTTCATTGTTTTTACATGCCATTGCCAGAAACAGATTGTTCCATCAGCACCAGTAGAAGTGAGGTATCTGGTTGTGCCTTTAGTTGATGGACAAAACTAAAAAAAAAAAAATTCTAATTCAAATAGAAAGCTTTCATGTTCAAACTTATTTTAAACACAGCATGTTCTAAAATTATAATCATTTTAAAAAATAAATAAATTCAATTAAGAATTTTACTTTCAAGAAATCAATTATTTAAATTTCTAGATTAATGAATACCTTACAAAAATTTAAAATATCAAGAAATTGTAGAAAAAAAGTCAGTCATCAAATTTAGGATAAAATATATTAGTCTTAAAAATAACTATTTTTAGGGGTGCCTGGGTGGCTCAGTCAGTACAGCATGCAACTCCTGATCTCAGGGTTATGAGTGTAGAGGTTACTTAAAAATAAAATCTTAAAAAATATAAAAAAATTATTTTTAAATTATTGAATATCACACATTAAGATTATTATTTCATTACTTTTAATGGAGAAAAAAATCACAAGGTGGTTACTAGTTAAACCATTAGAAATCTGCTAAATATATGCTTATACAGCAATAACTGTGGAATTTTTATAGTTCATATGAACAGAGCATCAGAAACCAATCTAAAATCAATGCTTAGGAAATTAATATCTAAATATTTTGGCCTTAATGTTTTACTTTAAATTCCAGCTTCAATGATGTATGATATAAATTTTGTTCTTTTAAAATTTAAATAATTTTCATTTGTTTTAATAAAATAAGTAAAATAGGTCAAATCTCTATATCATTGTGAAAAAAAAACAGATTAAAAAATATACTTAAGTTGCCAATTTAAAGGATAACTAATACCCTAGGTGAACCATGGACAGCCTTTTTCCTGTAGGATTCTCAGGCTCTGACTCTCAGTATTTTATACATCTTCAGAAAAGAATCACAGATAAGGGAAGAGCCATTGGGCTCCTGATGCCTGAGATACAGGAAAAAGTTGAAAATCAAACCAGGGTCTCTGTATGCCCTGAGTTTTAAAAATCCCAATTAGAGATAATCAACATCACTAAGATGAGTATTAAGGATCAAGATGCATAGGGTTTGAACAAATTTTGACCTCATATCTAAAAAAATGATCATTACAGATATTAGAAGTCATTTATCTAGTTTTCTTGATTAGAAACACATAACATCTACAAAGACTACAGAGTTTAAATAAAAAATTATCAATTAATGTTATCCATTAATAGTTGATATATAGTAAAGAAACCAGTACTCAGGTAGCATGCCTATATTTTCCTTTCTGAGATAGAGAAGCTTGCATTGGAAACCTTAATCCACAATTTATAGGGGGAGTCTGCAACATGCCAAATCCAGCTTGCTGCCTATTTCTGTAAATAAAGTTTTATTGGAACAAATTCACCTTACACTGCCTATGGCTGCTTTTGCACTGGAATGTAGTCAAGTAGGTATGACAGAGACCATATGGCCTGCAAATCCTAAAATATTTACTATCTGATCTGTAAATTTGCTGATCTCTGATTTATACAAATGAGATAAATATAAAATGGTATAATTTTATTAAGTTTGAAGAAACACTAGAACCTTTATTATCACCATTATATTTAAATAAATTCATCAGTCACAAAGTGGATCTGGCCTATTAATGTAGTCTAACTGAATTGTTTTTAAATAATAAATCATGTTAGAGATTATAAAAGTAAAAACACTTATATGTGCATTTCTTAATATAAATTAATATATAATTATTGAAGAAAATTTAGTAAATATAGAAAAACAATAAAAGTTACTTATAATCCCACCACCCAGCGGCAACTACTATTAAAATCATATCATTTTATCTCAATTTTGCTTACAAAAAAGAAGAATCTGAAAAGATAATACACCACGATGTTAAGAGAGACAGTTAATTAGCAAAGAATAAGTAATGCATATAGAATGCATGCTAAATAAAATTAAGAGGAGATAAAGAGTGCTGGTGCAGGGAACAACTTAAAATTTTAGAATGGTAAAGTGGTCAGAGAAAGACTCCCTGAGAAAGACACATTTGCACAAGGTGCTTAGAAAGGGAAGGAATAAGCCATGTGACTATCCAAGGAAGACCATTCCAGAGACATGAAACAGAAAGAGCAAAGGCAGAAGTGTAGCTAGAGTGGTCTAAAAAAGCAGAGAGGGTAGCAGCTAAAGAAGAAGGAAAACAGGAAACAAGTAGTAGAAGATGAGGTCAAAGAGAGCAAGGGGCTGAGAATATAGGCCTTACAATGTGGGTCATTTAGACTTCAACTTTAACTGTGAATTTGGAAGCTACTGAAGGTTCTGAGTACTAGTGACATGATTTAACTTCCACTTAAAAATCACTCAGCCTGCTATGCAGAGGTTAGACTGGGGCAAGAAAGAGGGAAAGGAAGAAGCAGGAAGATCAGTTAGAATCCTGTTTCAATAATCTAGATTATAGATGATAATGGTTTGAAATGGAATAGTAATGATTAAGGTCATGATAATTTGTCAGATTCTGGATTTATTCTGAGGGTAGAGCCAACATGATATCCTAACAAGTTAGATATGAGATATAAGAGAAAGAAAAAAAGTCAGGGATGACTACTCTGAGCAACTGAAAGGATAAAACTGCCATTTGTTTAGTTGAAGAAAGCTCTAGGAAAAGCAGATTTGAAGAAGGAAGACAGAAATTCAATTTTGAATATGCTGAGTTTGAGATTCATGACATTCATGTGATGATACCAAGTGGGTCCTTGAATATACAAGTATTGAACTAAAAGAAAGGTCCCAAGATGAAAATATGAGTTTAAAAATCATCAGCCTACAGATAAATCCAAAGCCATGAGACTTAATGAGATCACTAAAGGAAAGAATGTGATAGAGATCCATGGATCTTTAGGGAGCTCCCACATGTAAACAAAATGAGATAGAAATTAGAAATGAAACTATGAAGGAGCCACAAAGTATCATAAACATTTTTCAATGTAAATAGTTATTTTTTTATGTTATATGAGTTATTTCCAAATTCCAGAAATAATCTGTCAGATAAGATTGTGGGAATACAAATAACTAATAATCTCCTAAAACAAAATCCATGAAATAATTTCAACAGATCAAAAATTTGATACAAAATTTTAAAAATCCAATATATACTAAACCTAATTCTTGCTAGCCCATCATAAACAGGTGATATTATATTAAATAACACACAAAACTTGACTGACATACTTTTTAGTGACTAAAGAACAAAGAAAAGTAAATGGGAGTAATTATCTCATCCACAAAAGTGGTCTCCTTGACCAAAGTGTAAAACACAGTTTCAGGATTCCTGTTTTGCTCTCAACACAAAGAAGAGGACAAGTTCAGCTTAGTTTTCTTAAATAACAGGTTTTTCGGGGGTATCCAGGATTTTAACTATCAATATTTGTAAAAATACCCTATGGACAAGAATTTAAAAGAAGTCAGTGTATGTCAAACATCAAGTTGAAATAGGAAATCACTGAAACTAGGAATAAAATTTTCTTTAACATCAAACCACACACACACACAATCAGACTGACAAACATCTTGCATTAAATATTAACACAAAGTATGCCAATATTGAAGTTAGAACCTGTTTACAACCTAACACGTATTAGTGTTGCTTCCTTACAGCATTTATAAGTCTTCTCCCTTCTTCACAAATACTAGCGAGATAAATGTCTTACACTGTATTTGAAAAAGGTTTTCAATGATTTTTAAATTATCTCTAAAACAATAAATTTATATGAAAAAGGAATTAAAAAAATACCAGAGCAGGGTAGGGAAAAAGCCCTTAGAGATCAACATTTTCTGCTGCCATTCTTTATAATAATATCCACACAAAATAACAAAAACTGAAAGAATTCTCATCCTCATTACATATGTTAGTGATATATTTTCATTTTTCTTACCTGTATGGAAGTAATAGAAGCTGAATGTCCCTGAAGGACTGCAACTGGTGCACAAGTTCGAAGACACCACACTCTTACAACCTTATCACAGCTGCCTGCAGCAATAAGAGTGTTTTCATAGTTAACAGCCATGTCAGAAATTTCAGCAGAGTGCCCTCGAAGTGTAGCAAGGAGACGTCCATCATCTGTTGCCCAGATTTTCACCAAACAGTCATCTGAACCCTATAGTAACACAAAAGGACAGATTCCCAGTGAAGCAAAAATTTGCACCATTACCACCACCCCCAGAAAAAAAAGCCAAAATGACAAAGGGAGGATTTTTATTAAGTTACTTCTGAGCCTTTACTTTCTAATCTCCTCTGTCCATATAATATGGATCCAGGAAGAAATATAAATGATCTCCAAATGACAGCACTGACAAAGCATTATCTAAACTAACAACAACATTTGTGAAGAACTCCCCAAAACTGCCAATCTGACAACTCAAAATACTTATAACTCACTTTTAAGTGATTTGGCATTAAATATATCTGCCATTATTTCTTTCCTTATGCCTGACAGCATTTTATCACAATTGCTTGAATACTTTTTCTATTTCACTTATTTGTGGAACATAAGGAATAGCATGGAGGACATTATGAGAAGCAAAGGAAAAATGAAGGGGGCAAATCAGAGGGGGAGACAAACTGTGAGAGACTATGGACTCTGAGAAACAAACAGGGTTTTAGAGGGGAGGGAGGTAGGGAGATGGGTTAGCCAGGTGATGGGTATTAAGGAGGGCACGTATTGCATGGAGCACTGAGTGTTATACACAATGAATCATGGAACACTACATCAAAAACTAATGATGTACTGCATGGTGACTAACATAGCATAATAAAAAAAAGAATACTTTTTCTACAAATATTTAAAAATTTAACCTAAAGTCTACATGCATTTCTCAGTAAACATGAGTCTTTGTTAATAAACTGCTGAAAATATTAAGTTGAACTTCCTATTGAGAATTTCAAAAGAGCTTTAAAAATAGTAAAAAGCAATTCTACTCTAACATAGTAAATAAGTTAGTAATTATTTGTTTATAAAAAGATGGCAGGATGCCTGGGTAGCTCAGTCAGTTAAGTATCTGCCTTCAGCTCAGGTCATGATCCCAGGGCTCTGGGATCTAGCCCGGAGCCCCAGGCCAGAGCCCCAGGTCAGGTTCCCTGCTCAGTGGGAAGTCTGCTTCTCCCTCTCCCTCTGCCCCCACCCCTGCTTATGCTCTCTCTCCCTCTCTCTTTCAAATAAATAAATGAAATCTTTTAAAAAAATAAAAAAATAATAAGATGGCAATTGTCATTTTCATCACGATCACTGACATCCAAATACTTAGGTGATGCATTTGGAGTTATGAAAATGTCAATGGAAGAGTCTTTAATGAACTCCAAGGAGTCATAATTTCCCAAAATGCAAACTACTTCATTTATTATAGCATAGAAAGTTAAGAAGAAAATTATGACACTACATACACTTCTATGTTAACTTAGAACTAAAGTAGTGAGACTAAACCCTTTCTTAGAAATATTAGCATGCTACAATTTTGTACTCAAAAGCACACGATATGATCTGGTTAATAAAATGCTAAGTGAAATAAGTCAGTTACAGAAAGACAAATACCATATGATTTCACTCATATGTGGAATTTAAGAAAACAAATGAGCAAAGGGAAAAAAAAAAGGAGAGAGGGAGGCAAACCAAGAAATAGACTCTTAACTACAGAGAACAAACTGATGGTTACCGGAGGGGAGGTGGGTGGGGGGGTGGGTAAAATAGGTGATGGGGATTAAGTAATGCACTTGCTGAGATGAGCACCAGGTTTTGTACGGAAATGTTGACTCACTATATTATACACCTGAAACTAATATTACACTGTATGGTAACTAACTGGAATTTAAATAAAAACTTAAAAACCTCAGATTTAAGGGCACCTAGGTGGTTCAGTTGGTTGAGTGTCCAACTCTTGATCTCAGCAAAGGTCTTAATCTCAGGGTCATGAGTTCAAACCCCTCGTGAAAAAAAAAAGCAAAACCAAGAACAAACCAAAAAAAAAAAAAAAAAAAAAAAACAATTTAAAAGATAATTAGTATTGGGACACCTGGGTGGCTCAGTCAGTTAAGCATCTGCCTTTGGCTCAGGTCATGATCTCAGGGTCCTGGGATTGAGCCCCAACATGGGCTCCCTCCTCAGTGGGGGGATTCTGCTTCTCCCTCTGCCCCTCCCCCCTTGCTTGCTCTTTTTCTCTCTCTCTCTCTCAAAGAAATAAATGTAATCTTAAAAAAAGTAATAATTAGTACTGAAATAAAAGAAAGATATACACAACTGTAAATTTGGTTACTAACTGTATAATACAATTATTCAACCATAAGAATGTGTTTTAATCATTTTAATTAAGCAGAATGGGCACCAATTACACTAAGTGACAAATGGAAAATGCATTTTAAAATGAAATGAAATGAAATGGAGTAGACAAACTTGTTTCACATAAATTAACCACCTCTAATATATAAGGCCTTAAGATTTAATTTTTTTTAATTAGATTTCCCAAAACATAGAGGACATTATAGTTCACCCATTTACTTATATAGAATGAGAAAATTTCAATTTCTTTTTTTAAGTTATATAACTTTTATTTTTTTCCTTTTTTCCCCTTTTTTAGATTTTATTTAAGTTCAAATTAGTTAACATAATGTATTATTAGTTTCAGTGGTAGAATTTAGTGATTTATCAGTTGCATATAACACCCAGTGCTCATTACATCAAGTGCCTTCCTTAATGCCCCTCACCCAATTATCCATCCCCCCAGCCACCTCCCCTCCAGCCACTCTCAGTTTATAAAGTCATCTTTTTACTCATCTTTTCGTGCATTAATGTGTCGAAGGATAAACTGCTTACAAAGTATAATTCAATGCCATGAAGCCTACCTTCAATTGTAGTAAATCTCAAATATGCTACAGTATCATTAATTTTAAACTCACTGTAAAAATTCTTCTCCCACTTCGGTCAAATGCTACACAGTAGACAGATGACAAGTGCCCCAGAATTCTCTTATGCATCTTAATGTGCTGGTAAGCAGATGAAGGGAAAATATGGCTGAAGCGACTGCATCCAGTTAATTGCCTGGCAGAGGTGATATTTACTGAAAAACATAAAATAAAAGATTCCTTCTTAAGACCTAAAAGCAAAACCTACTTCATGAAGTTAAATCATAAATATTAAGATGAGATAAAATAGGGTACACACACCACAGCAATTTTACCCTGTGAAAAGTCTAAATTCCATTATACATTTCATGATTTTATGAATTCATGTTTACTACCACAAAGCACTAAGAATACTCTTCTTTTAAATCCCACAAGTCTGATTTTCTGTTTGCCTTACTATGATTTCTCAGGTTCATTCTTGTTTTACCTTTCTTTGGTAAACTATAGTCAAAGACACTGTCACTTTAAATATAGAGGTAAATCTTAACATAACATGAAGGACTCTTAGAATAGACTACATTTGATTAAATATAATACATTTTAAAAATTACATAGGGAATTTTATGAACTCCTGTCCTACCTCCTCAAACCTATCCACTCCATATGAAGCTATCTCTAAATTTTCAAGAGTAATAGACTTATACAGTGAAAAAAACAAAGGAAGCTATGATAATACATTAAGTTTTCAGTAACAATCCTTTCTAGGTTTGTCTATAGGTTCTCCGCTTTTTGGTTTCTGAAACTGTAAACTCTCCCACTAGTTACAAATGAATTTTTGAAACTGCATCTCCTATATAAAGTCACTATAGTTCTTTTTGTTTGTTTTGCCTTATTAATTTTCTTAAAAAAAAAAAAAACCAGAAAAAAGCATAAGTCTGTCCAGTTCTCTTACAAATGCCACTTGGATTCTTCTCACTTACCTAAAATGGAGATCTTAGTCCCCATGTAAGGATTTACAAGCACCCACTTGCTCTGTGAAATTCCTCCAGTCTTTCCTTATACACTGAAAATATTTAACATCCCATACATTATATTTTAATCAAACCATAAGATCCTTCTAAGTGCAAAGTTACCTTGAGGCAAGGTGACATACTACCATAGTGCATAAATAATATAGTACAAATGATAACAGCTTTATGTTGAAGTAAGGCAAAATTAAGGCAAGAATGGGTTTGTAGCTAGATTAACACAATTAGAACCATGCCACAATAAAAAATATGAAACCTTTCCACATCTCAATCTTAAAAGCAACGGAGTCCTTTTTTTTTTTTTTTTTTTTTCAGGCGAAGGTAGATCCACTGGCCATTTTAAACTGACAAAATGACAAAAAATGAATGATGAATAGCAAAACCAATGAGACTTTGAATGCAAATCATAAGAACACAACAGAGATTGAGTATTTATATAACACTGTGAGGGTGCCTGAGTGGCTCAGTCATTAAGCGTCTGCCTTCGGCTCAGGTCATGATCCCAGGGTCCTGGGATCGAGCCCCACATCGGGCTCCCTGCTCCACGGGAAGCCTGCTTCTCCCTCTCCCACTCCCCCTGCTTCTGTTCCCTCTCTCGCTGTGTCTCTCTCTGGGACAAATAAATTAAATAAATTAAATCTTTAAAAAAAGAGAAACACTATGAAATGCTGAGTAAATAATGGTAGAAAACCCACAAGCATCACTACCAGCTCAGAGGATTTCTTTTTGGCACCTGCTCCCCATCCCAACCTCTAGAAATTTTCACAATTCTAAAATGGAAAGAGCAGACACCATAACTTTGAGACTTAGCAATTTTCCTTCTCCAGTCAAACATTTCTTACTGCTCTTAGTTCCTTAAAACAATCAACCATCACTTCTTTGCTTTTTTCTATCCATACTTTTCAAGTAGATAGAAGAAAAGGTGTGTTACTTTAGCGCAGGGTTTTTCAGCCTCAAGAAATACTGGCACTTTGGGCCTGATGAACCTTCACTGTGCAGGGCTGTCTGTCTACTGAAAAGTATTTAGCAGTTTCCCTGGCCTCTACCCACTAGATTTTAGTAAAACCCTACCACCATGAAGCTGTGACAAAGAAAAATATCTCTGGACATTGCCAAATGTCTCCTGGTGGTAATAAACAAAAACAACAACAAAAAAAAACATTAACAACTGTCCCCAGCTTAAACAAAAAACAGCATCAATAGGAAGAAAAATAATCAGAAAAGCAACTCTAAGAAGAAAAGCAGAGACATAAAGAAAAAGAAGTAGTGAAAGACACAGGGGAGAGATAAAGAGCTACCAGAAATCCAGTCATTCCTCTAACAAATATCTGTGTTTTTTGAAGGCCAAAGGAATAAGCATATAAACAAAATATTCTTGACCCCACTAAGAGATCCCATTAGTATCTCAGGCCAAAACTGTTAAATCAGGAACAATGACTGAAAACTTTATGCATCTTTATAGTCTATACAAATTAGCTTTTACTTTTTAAGACTCCTTTACAAAGGAAACTATTAATTGAAAAAGAAAAATGAAAAATATGTGGAACAAATATGACAAAATCTTAATATTTTAAAACACATATAAAACTAACCACCTATAAGAGTACCAAGGGGGGCACCTGGGTGGCTCAGTCGGTTAAGCATCTGTCTTTGGCTCAGGTCGTGATACCAGGGTTCTGGAAACGAGTCCCACACCGGGCTCCCAGCTCAGCGGGGAGCCTGCTTCTTCCTCTCCTGCTGACCCCCTCCCCTGCTCATGCTCTCTTTCTCACTCTGCTCTCTCTCTCTCTAATAAATATATAAAATCTTTAAAAAAATACCACTAAGGTCTAATAGATGAATGGATAAAGGAAATTAACAGATAAGTCACAATATAGGAAATACAAATAAACTGAATCACAAAATACACTTAACCATTTTGCCAACTATCAAAAGAAATTTAAATGAAAATAATGAAATACAATACTATACCTAATAAATTAGCATTTTAAAAATTCTAAAAACCTAAGGCCAGCAATTACTACTTGAAACTGGTATACACCTTCATTTCTAGTATATGTGCTGCTGAAGCGAGCACGTACACCTTCATTTCTAGATACACCATAAAGTGACATGATCCATTCGGAAAATAATTTTGGCAATAACTTCAAGAGTCATGAAAATATACACACCCATTGCCCAACCATTGGGAATCTATTCTAGTGACACAACTTATTAGCAAAAATGAGTTACATGTACAAATGTTTAATGAAGCACTATTTACAATACCAAAGAATGATAAATAACCTAAGTCCAACATCAGGGAAATGGTTAATTAAATTACAGACTATGTGATGGACTATTCTATAGGAATTAATAATTAAAATACCAAACTACAGCACTGTGTAAAAATTTAGAAACTACAAAGCAAAAAATATAAAATGCAACCTTACAAGTATACTATGATTTAAATTATGAAAAAATATGCATACATATATATAATAAAGACTAAAAAGAAACAAGAGAAATGAAACCAACTGCTTTGTGATCAAAGTATAGGTAAATTTTTAAAATTTCACCTAACACACTTAATATATTTTTATCTTCAACACAACTTTTCTATTGGGTTCTTCCTAGTTATTGCTAATAGCTATTCAAAAAAAGTCTACTATAAGGCACATTGTATATTTGACAGCAGCAGCATCAAATATTCCTTCTTTCCAATCTCAGTGATTTTTTGTTTATTCATCTAGCACCTGAGATGATAACATTTACATATTTTTCTCAGTCATTTGATATCAACAGGGCTTAGGCTCTATATACACTAAGGAGTTCTGTCAACACTCTTTTTTGCATGCATTGTCCATTTAACCAGTATTTTTCAATATTGCATGTGAACATGCCAACTTTGTCTTGAAATATTTTAAGAACTTTCCTTTTCAGACAAACATCTTTGATATCAATACATTTCTTTGTACTTAGCAATGTTGACAAATTCAACTAGTAGATAAATTAGTCAAATGTATATAGGTATAAAATATATTAAAATACAAAATGTTCTATTCAGAATCCATTATGTCTATTTTTTTTCTTTAAAATTTTGTAAGATAGGCATCTAAATGTTCTCTAAAAGAGGTAAGATATATGAACTAACTCAGTGACAGACCAAAATGCTTAAAGATTCAAGTAAGAACAGGATAAGACTTAATGTATGTTTTAAATTTATTAAGTCACAGAGAGCACTGAACAGCTATCAATGGAATAATTACTTTTTCTTTAAAACCTATGTTTGTTGACCACCTGATATGAGCTAAGCACTTGACAGATACTGGAAATACAGCTTATAAACAAACCGAACTAGATCCTCATCCTCATAGAATTTACATTCCACTGAACAAAGCTTTCATCATTTACCCAATTTCATGAATAAGATATCTTAACGAGGAAAGTGATCTATACAGCTCTCGAAATGTATTTTTCTAATAAGCTCTACAGGTGATGTTGATACTCTGCCAAGTTTGGGAACCACTAATTCTAGTCCAACCTCCCTCCTTCCCAAAATTATCCTTTCCATAATATATCTGGCAGATAGCCATTTAGCCTCTGCTTAAACACTTTTGGTAAAGAGAATATTATTATTTCTTAAAAAAATGGCCAATTCATATGTTGAGCCGTTCTAATTTTGGGGAGACTCTACCTTTAATTGAACTCAAACTCTTTCCCTGTAACTTCGGGAATCATACAGGCTTTGCCTTTGGGAGCTACACTGGAAAAAAAAACAAAAACAAAAACAAAAAACAGTCAAATCCCTTTGTTACATGGTAACCCGTGAAATATTTAAAGATAGTTATCACTTGTGCCTTCCATCTTCTCTCAATATATGAGGTCCCCTCTACATTATTCACAGCCATAATTCACACATACCTCTCTTCCCTATCATCCCCTACAGAAAAACACTCTTTCACCCTAAACACTAACGTGGTTGCTTTTTTTTGAGAAGTTTCTAGTTCATCAATGTCTCAGACTCTTAAAATAACAAGAACTGAGCAAAATATTCCAGTGGTCTAATCAGCACAGAGTATTTTCAACCACACTTCTATGAATGCAATTTAGGATGCAAAGACTACATTAGTTTTCTAAAACAGCTGCCTTATACTATCTATTGGTTAAAGAGGAAATAAAGTTAGTTTGATATGCTTTCTTAGTAA